GTAAAGCTCGTCTGTATTCACCCCATCCGATACCACGGCCAAATCCACAGAGGACAACAACTCGGGAGAATGCTGCCAATGCAGAGAGTGTTTCCTGGCATTATCTCGCACATCCACGTTGAGAACTGTGACCACTCTGATCCTACTCATCTACTTACGCCTGGTAAAAAACCAAACAACCCAGCACCCTCCAAATAAGTAGTATAATAATATAATAAATGAAAAATTAGTATTTCAAGTAAGGACAACAATATCAAATAGCAATAGTCCCCTTGGTCTTGGGTTCTCTCTGACAGCAACACCCAAAAGAAAGAAAATATGCATTATAAATACAGCGTAATAGGACTGTAGACAGTGCTACGGGAAGGAGAATATATCAGCTTATCGAGTTGTATTTTTTGCCCTCCCACAACAGAGCACCATCAAGTCGCAGCAATAAACCGAGTCCGACATCTCATCTGTTTGTACCCTTTCACCTACTAGCAATGTTTTCAGTATTGCATCTTAGCAGCCTTTGGGATGATTCTTTGCAAATACAAATACTATGCTGGCAGTAATGGAGACCTGAGGGATCCAGTCTCATCAATAAGACACAAAACTGAGTCTTTTCCTATCCCTCAGACTACACTCTAGGAACTGTGATACTCTTTTTGAATTTTTGTCTTTAAAGCATGCTCCTTATATTAAGTCTAACCTAGAAACATTACAATCCAGTCTTAGGTGTACATTCTATTTACATTTCCTAAAGGATGACCAATTTTGTGGAGGAGACATCCAACCTCAATGTGTGGGATGTAATTCCAGTATGTTCCTACCTAACTAAAATTAAAACACAGCAGTTACAAACATGCAACACTCAGAACTTAAAAGTTAACTTTGATGTGCTATGTTTCTGTATTTCAAAGTCGTTCCACCATTCCCACAACAAGACAGACACTGGGCAACACTGTGCTCTGGGAATCCTACAAATGAGATAAGAGGCTGTGATAACTATGGCTGCGGATACTACGGAGCTCCAAGGTACTACAAGTCGAACATAAGGGGTTTTCTTGCTGCTCCAAGCAAGAAAAGAGTTGAACTCTGTTTAAGCCATTTCAGAATTACAGCTTTAAAAGTTTAGGTTGGACATGAGGCAACATTTTCACCTACAGAACAGGTTGCCCACATAAAACCTCTGTGCTTGGAAGTTTTTATGACTCAGGCTAAGACATGCCAGACCTGACCTGGTGTTGGGAACAGTCTTAACTCAAGTGGAAGGTGATACTTGATGTCCTCCACAGTCATCTGCCAACCAATATTTCTGTGACTTCACAGGTCCATTTAAAGGCTTGAAAGAAAGGTGTGTTGTTTTTTCTCCAATTTGCAAACTGGAATTCTAACAGATCATCAACCCTACAGGGCATTACATTATCTACACCAAAAAAGGTCTATTGCTTCTTCAGCCAGTCAATTTATGTCCACACCGTCTCAGTACAAACAACGCATTTCCAGATCTTGTAGCATGCTAACTCATCTATCTCTATACACTGTTAGGCCTGACACAAGACTTCTCTAATTACGTATTTGTTCTCAGACGCAACGGTAAAGGAAAGCACACAGCAGTGGATGTCATCTGCTCTGATGGAGCAACCGTATATGCTCCCTTTTCCGGCGAGCTCTCTGGACCCATTAAATTCTTCCACAACGGAAATGCCATTGACGATGGAGTCCAAATCAGGGGATCTGGTAAATAGTGATTTTTCATTTAATATTTGTCTTGAGGTCATAGAAGATGTATTACCTTGCAGCTAGCCAAGTAGGTAAGAAAGGTACACGTTTTGAAACACTGTATCTTCTATGCATTTACATGCATATGTTAGAACGCAAATAATTGAGTTCTGTAGAATATCTTCAAGTTCTTCTCTTTACTAAAGCAGGAATTCCACCAAGCCAACAACTCCAACCACAATCTCTAATTTTATGACCAGCGTCTTTGCTACTTTGGTATTTCCGCTATTGCACTCTCAGTGGAAAGGACAATGCAGAAAATATTTGTATTTCTGAAATAGAGTTACTACAGAAGAACAAATGCTTCATCAGTCATCTGATGTTTTCCTTCCTCTTGTTTTCACCAGGCTTCTGTGTAAAACTAGTCTGCATCCATCCCATCAGATACAACGGCAGAATTTCTAAGGGACAAATCCTTGGGAAAATGTTGCCAATGCAAAGAGTATTTCCTGGGATCACATCTCATATTCACGTTGAGAACTGCGATCGCTCAGATCCTACCAGCAATCTCGAAAGGGGGAAAGGGCAAAGAGTGTGAAATGGAAATGCAGTAAATTCCAAATAAAGTAATCTCAGCATCCAAAAGTTGTTTTTTCTTATCACATGGACTGTCTATCTCTGTAAAGGAAGAAAAAAAAAATCTATTTTACAGCATTAAAAAAGTTACACAACATGCACAACAACAGTTTATATTACTACTGACTCAATACTTTGGGCCTTACATAATATTGCAAGGTGCTACCATTAATATATACTCCAGATACCAGTTAGGTACTGTTTTTTAAATACCTGTCATTGTTGCAAACGTTGTATCTTAGGCTAAATGACAAACTTTACTACACCTTGACAAACAAGATTACTTTAGATTTTGAAGGTACCTAAACAGAGGAAAAGTAGAAGGAAGTTCACTGAAACACTCCACAAGGCATAAAAGATGCTGTTTGGAGCTGTCATGCCAGACCAACCAACATCTGTACCGAATGGCAAAAGAGACTCCACACAAGGAAAAATCATTTCAGCTTTTGTTGGACTGTACATGTACAAGAGAATCAGGAAATTAGCAATGACTAATTATAAGCTTTCTCAAGGAGTCTGAAAGGTCAGCGAGGGTGAAAACTAGCTCAGCCCCTCACGTGGCAGAAAAGGTGCACTACTGTTAGCTTCTCACTGCAACGTGGACTTTTTAGGGAGCCGACGAATCTCCTTAGCATATCAGGTGTAAATTCTGTACTTCACTTGGAGGGCTTTAGTTACTCTAACAAACTGTATCATTGCATTATACACTTTAGAGGTGGAGTTTTAGAAAGCCTTTGCAGAGCAGCGGAACTAGGAATAAGCCAATAAAATAAACAGAACTTGTCTTAGCTCGGACACGCAGAGCTCTAAGTACAGGCTACTCAAGGGATAGTAGGAAGCAAAGGCAGCAGGCAGCTATCTACAGGTTCTTGCCAAGTGCAATACCTCCGCTGCAGTCATTCAGGATGACCTACTAAAGAAGGAAAAGAAGAACTAACGCTGCTTTACACAGGGCAGTGTTTTGACACTCCTCCCCAAAGCACAACGCATATACCTTAGCACCAACACATGACACTAAACAGATCTAACGCTAAAACTATAAAATGCAACATTAACATGTCAGAAGTTACCTGCAATTAAAATTAGCTTCCCACACTACCAGTGAAGAATCCTTATTTCACACTGAGACTAATGTATCGATTCTGTTGACATTTAATCATAAACTCAAGTAGCAATTGGTCTTACTTGTCAAGATCAGTTAGCAGAGGAAATGCACCAATAAAAATAATCATTGCATCAAATTCACAACATTAATAAATGCAGGCCCATTTTTCTAGAAGCTTGGAGCTGGAGCAAGCTAACGTTCATGGCTTCACAGAAAAACTGCTTTAGTAAGAGGGACAGAGAAAGGGACGATATTCAAAGAAGCATCTTAACAGTTGCCTCCTGAACTATAATTCTGTGTATAGCCACTAGTGTTTGGTACTTCATTAATGCCATTACATTGGCTAGAGGGACACGAAGGACTCTAGGACTCTACCAACCATCTACGATTTGTCCACAATCCATTTTACAGTTTCAGCATGTCAAAAATCCTCAAGTTTGAGGCATGAACGTGAAATTACAATGACTATAATCCAAGAGTTAAACATTTCTACGGCCTCTCCCCAGGTTTGTCAACTATATAGTGTCTAACAAGACAGAACCTTGCCTAACCTATGTATGTGATACAACAGATAGGTAGGAGTCTAATATCAGTGCATGTATTAGATCACTTTATTGTTATCAAACCACACATCTTAAACCAAATATTGCTTAGAAATATTTCCATCTTTTGTTTAGAAGATCTAAAATGAAATTTAAATTTAAAATTATAAATCCCCTTGGTTACGGAAGCAAGTGCTTGGATAAGAGGTGCTAGTAACCAGAGTCAGATGCTTCTTAACTGTGCGACAGGCAAGAAACGCATTACTGATTCAGACGGGCATTATGTGTTATCTTAATTCCTGTAGCTTGCAATTGGGAACAAGTCTGTCCAAGACAATGGTGGTTTAACCATTCAGCTGTTATTTTTGCAGTAAAGAAGTGGTAAGTGTGGAAGAAACTGACATTTTATCTGATGTGACAAATACTACCAGCAAATCAAAGGTAGAGGTCTCATTATAAATAGGAAGATATAACAACTACAGCATGAAAATAATTACAGCAAAATCTGTATACAGCACATTTCAGTTTCCAGTGTGCAAAATGTCAACACAAAAATACATACTTTGATTCACATCAACTCACCACTCCTTTCCCCTTCAAAGAAAGTAAAGAAATAAAATAAAATCTTCTTCCTCAAAACCCAATTAATAGCAACAAGTATTAAACAGTCCTGAATTAAAAATTCCAGGATCACCTCCAGCAACCCTCACCCTAGAAATCTGTGCTTACAGCACAGCTCTGCAAGATACAGGCAAGACTACTACAGGCCATTCTGGCCTCTAACTGGCAAATCATTTGTTTTTTAAGTGCTGTAAATCCTTGATTCTAGATAGAAAGTGATCAAAACCAACTGTATTCCATTTGATCCCTCCTCTTCACCAGCCACATTTACGAGATCCTCATTCTCTCTTAATAAAGCATGGAACAGCATTCAGATATTAATCTAATCTTTGTAATCAAAGACTTGAATTCTCCCCAAACCAGAAGCTATTCCTTATACTCTGGCAGTTTCCAAAGTGCTTTGTCATTCACCAAAGCAATCTAGATCCAAACTTTTAAATTCATTAATTTTAACAAGGTCTCTTTCCCATCCATTTAATGCATAAGACAGAAAAATAACATACTGTACAATGCAGTCTCTACAGTTTAGCTAATCTGACAAAATTGTTAAAGTGCAATTTAAAACTGGAAAGGTTTTTGTAAGCATAAGCTTATTTACCGCAATGTTTTAATATACTGGCATGAGTTTAAGCTAGACATTTGAATAACCTGGGGTAGCGTAAGTATTTTAATGTACAAGCTTTTACATTTATAACAGGAATATTTTGAAAAATAGCTGCATAAAACATAAAACAAGTAACACTGAACTCCAAGTTGTACCCAGCTTCTAATAAAGACAGATTTGCTAAAAGGAGAAAAGTATCTCTAGCCCCCTTCTGACTACATTGGAAAGACTAAACAAAGACATTAAAAAAAACCCAAACCAACCACTTTAATGTGAATGGAACATTTAAACTGAAGCTCAGAGAAGCCCACCTTCACTGAAGCTCCTATAAACCACAAACATACTTTCAGAACTGTTAAGTACACTTAATCTATTTTCTATTTCAATATACCATTAACATTCTAGAATGTCTTGCTGTTACATTACTAGAGGTTCTCAAGGTAGAAAAACTCAAAGCTGGAAATCAGTCTTCACATTTCATTTTTAAATTCTTGATTTGCATAGAAAGCAACACCCTCATTCTACCATTTTATCCACAAAGGTAGAGAATTTACCACGTTGGCATCATATCAGGAAACCACATTCTTCCAAGGTGTTTGGAGACTTCCAAATGAAGTCGATCTAAGCTATAATCATTATCTGGAATCAGTACCTCCTCCATTATGGAAAGCTGCGTAAGCCTGCCCCCACACATCTTTACAAATTCAATAAAACCTCTGCAAGTTACTTCACATTCACCAAGTCCCATTGCTGTTAAGTTCTTACAGCGCTCAGCAATCCGAATAAGTTCATCGTCCAAAGGCTGAAGTCCATTAGCACACACAACCAACTCAATTAACCTTGGGCAATTCATGCCAATACGACCCAACATTGCTTTGCTTACTGCACGACCAAAGTAAAGGTGTGTAACAGGGGTTTCCTCTCTGAAGAAAGCATCAAATTCTTCTTCATATAAGAAGAAATACATCACAATATTGACTTTGGGGGAGTGTTTAACAAGAGCATCCCAGCTTTGCTTTTTAATGGTGTGAAATTCAACTTGTCCGGGATTTTCACTCACAACATCTATGCGAAGGTGTTCAAGATCAACATGTTTTTCACTCGAAAGAGCCAGCAGCAGTTCATCACTTAATATGTAGTAGTTCAAAGCCAGCTCCTTAAGTCCATGACACTGGTCAGCAACACAAAGAATTCCTAAGGAACAAAAAAAATTACTCTGTAAAATGAAAAGTGAATATAAGCACAGTTGTTTGCTGTAAAGCACAAGCAAGTACTAATTGTATTGGCTTGAGTATTCATGCCTATATCCCAAACCCCATGAAATGTGATGAAGTTCTATATATCCACATCCTTTTACAGGGTTTTAGTCATAGATACTTATCAGTAAAAGAAGCAAGTCTAACTAGTTGCGTTCATCTTGGATTTGCATTTCCTCTTTGCTCTTCCCTGTGCAGAATTCCCTCAACTTTGAAGGGGCAACTGAAATCAGGTAAGATCCAGCTGAAGTGACCACTGTTCCCTTCCCTAATACCCCTTCCTTCATCATTCATCTACGTATTCTATTTAAGTGACCAACGGTAGCCTAGTTTGATAGCTATGCTAAAACAGATCCTTTCATAAACAACATAACTGCTCTTATCTGTTGGAATACGAAGTACACAGAGTCAATCACTTTCTGTAGACTCCGGATAAGAATATAGGAAAGAGATCAGATCAGGATTCCCCTTCCCTAGCACCAGGGTTTCAGGAGAAAGGTATACGAGAAGGGACCTAAAAGCCCTCTGAACTTTCTTGCAAGCTTGTACTTTGAAGGGACTGAGCCCTTCACCAACCAATGCTAAAACAAGCAAGTTCATACTACCAGATCTGGACACATGAGGGCACTACAGAGACTGAAAGACTGAAGTCTTACACTACCAGTTTTTGAAATTTGTATACACTCCATCTTTTTTTAATATAACTTTGAAGTATTAATACTTTTGCTCAGTGAGTTAAACTCACAACACCTTGCAAAACAGGTATTGACAACTGCTTTCATCTCCCTTATCCCACCAACCAGTAGTTGATTCATGGGTTGGGGATTTTGTGTCCGTGTTCCCACAGAATGCCAGTTAGTTAAGTTGACACAATTGCACACATTAAGCAGCACACATTTGGTTACCCTTACACAGAACTGGCAATGAACACCCAAGTCCTTGGAGCATGTGTTGAAAGCCTGCACTAACTTTGGAGGCTTTTCCTCCTCAACGCCTACCATCAGACGTACTGAAGCAGCTGAGAAGAATGAAGAAAAAAAAACCATCCCCAGGATTCTAGAAGATGCAGTCAGGCAGGAACACCTCCACCTTCATTAATACAACTCATTCAGGAACACAGAGACATTATTCTTCCCATTCCAACTGTCCAAAGCCAAGACTAGGTCAATAAAATGCCTCTGCTAAGAGACCCAGAAGAGCACTAGAAGTTTTATGAATAATTTGTTTCAAACTAAGTCTTGACAATTGTTTTATGATACTTTACGACTACATTTTTCATACATATTCACTACTCACCAGCAGGTGATACATGCGGACAGCTGCTCATTTTTAGCAGTTTTAGAGTATCACTATTGTTAGCAACAAGAACTTTCAAGGAAGGATCATCAAGTGGTGTGTCATCTATCTTGATCGATGATAATGACTTGGAGTTTACAAAAGCTACTGTCAGTGCTGAAGCAAAATGAGCCTGTTTGGAGAAATTGAAGGAAGGAGAAAAAGATAGGAAAAGATAGGTGGAACTTCAACATCTAAACCTCGGGTTTTGCATGCAGAGAAAGTAGAAAAATAACCTTAGGCATCCCCTTTTTTGTGTAATGAAGAAAGGCTTATTTGAACATGAACATAGGAAATCTTTGTTTAACAATATGCTGCTGCATGTGACAAAAATTAACTTTACACTCAGTAGTTAACTCATCTACTCCAATTTATCTTTTCACTGTAATAAAACAGGGATAAGTGGACATAGCAATGAGCCTGAAGTATCTAGAATTCATTTGCAGAAAAAAAGGAAATGGCATTTATTTTCAAGCAAGTAACTCTGCTGTGACCTACAGAATCAAAGAAAAACAAAACCTCCCAAACAATCAGTATGTTGCAGCATGTGGTCATTGCATCTTTTAACTCAGAAATGAGGAAAATCAAGCCTTCTATACCCATCTCTATGCCACAAAGTATCAACACTACTAAACTTAATGAATGGAATCAATGCTTATTTTCCTAATACTAATGGATGCCACAAATTAAAGAAGATATGCCAATAAATACAGACTGCTTCATAAAAATTACCATCAACTGAATAACACCACAATAAGAAAGCTAAAGTGGTTTAAGAGTGAATTAAGTTACTCGAGTTACAGTTTGTAGAATATTACCTTAGAGACATTCATGAAGCTTGGTTTTGCTGTAGAAATCAAACCCAGTGTCTTGATAGAGCAGTTTACCAACTGAGAAAGGATGTCACAGGCCGCTTCTGCTGACTCAGTACTACTATCAACCTATAAAAGCAATTTAAAAATAATGAAGTCGCTTTTTATTATTATTTAGAAAACAGCATCATGGAAACCCAAGACTGCAAGTTGCACACCCACTCAGCTGTACTGCACCAGACTGCATTTACCACAAGGACAAAGCACAACATTCATTAGAAATTTCATGACAAGAAAAAGTTCAGGAAAATTAGTATTAGAAAGTCTTCCTGAATATGACTGCTAGGTATTTCTAGTATGAGAAGAGAGCTTAAATCTAAGCCTTCTCTTCAAATAATCTCATGCCTTCCTCAACAACTGTAATTAGTATAACTGTAATTAGTATTGGTGTTATGATAGTGGTATGTATACACCTGTTTTAAATGCCAATTCTAGACTCTTAGAGCAGAAAAAAGACTTGATAAAGCCTAGGTGTACTCCAGCAAACTAATCCATTTTACCTGCAGGGACAACACCTCTGCATCTTGAATAATGAACTGATTCTCAACTCATCTATAAGCCTATGACTGACTTTGGACAAATCACTATTTCATCTCACCTTCCTCCTCTGTAGTAGCTGAGATGATAAAAGAGTAGCTGAAAACGCTTAAAAGCTGCATTAAGACATTATAATGCCAATTCATTATAACCAGTTATATGAAGTGCAGAACTTATTAGTATTTAACAACTGATTATACATGAACCGGTGTGCAACCAAATCACCTTATCTCCAAATGTAAAACTGCTACCAGTGCTAAGAAATCACAAGCTTCTTTTTTCATCCTTGCTTTAATATCAGTCCTTTCTTCTGTTTTTCCTTCATAGCTGAGAACAATGACCTCCTCTAAGGAGGACTGACTGTCAAAAGTGAAGAAAGCACCTGTAGTTCCAACTATTATCTTCTCAGATTAGCAGAGTGAACTGTACCAAGTATTCAAATGAAAGAAGTCCAAATTTATTCAACTCTGAGACTACACAGCCGTCATTTAAATCACTTTTACTATTACTAATTATGTCCTCATGTGTCAATGACTTGAATATACAGGTACAGAATCTCTCTCCCTTACTCATATTTTTTCAAAGCAGGGTTCTAAAACTTCAAGACATTCTTCACTGTATAGCCTTATTTTGCAAAAAAATTATACACACAAGATAAATGTGTTCCCTCAAATGCTTCCATGTGTAAGAAACATTTATCTGCACAATAATCTACTGAGTACTCAGATTGCCACTAACACCGATTCACAGAAACTACGTATTCTGTATATTCTGAAAACATATCATTCAATCTTCAGCAAGGTATTGCACAATGTTAGCTCTTTACTTTGTAAAGATTAGAGTACAGAAATAGAAGGAAACTGTGTGCATGCGTGGAAATAAATTGTTGCAGTAGTTGCATTTTTAAACATAAGACTTCCCAGGTGTAACTCCTGAGCCAACCGACACAGAGAAGCTGCATACATTATGCCACAGTAACTTGTGGCAAAACAAGCCTCCGTTCTTCCAAGACTTACCTTGAAGCTGACGTACTGCAGATGATCAGCATGCCTCTTGATAATCTGCTGAATGAGATCAGGATGCGTAGACTTTAAGTAAGAAGTAGCTGGCTGGCTAAGTTCAAATTCAAATCTCCTCCAGAGATCTGGGATGTGAAAAATTTCATTCCACCTTCGACAAACAGAAGATGCCCTGGCTCGATCTACTAAAGGTAGAAACTGAAAAATACGCAGAATAACATGGTGCGGAAGGCTTCCCCAGTCCATTGAGGCATGAGAGTCAGATTCACCAAACACTGAGCCATATAAACAAGTTTTCTGTTTTTTGCTTCTCTGTGATGTTTGAGGAGCTTCATTTTCAACCTCAGCTTTCTGCCTGGCTCTCTTCATCGTGAAAGTTTCAGGTATCTGAACAATCAGCTGTATGCAAACTGCACAGTTTCCTGAAAGGTGTCACATACAGTAGGTCTCTGGAAAAATACAGAAGATTAGGGGAGGAAGGGAGAGAAGGTAGTGAAAACACAGTAAGAGATAACAAGTTAGTAAAATTTAAATACAGCATGTTACTATGAAAAAAGGTTAAGTCCAGATGTCAATATCCAGTGCACAGACATTAACCAAGGACCTTCTTTCTCGATACCTTTTATTTTGTACAACTTGACTTGAATCTGGAGAACCTGCGTTTGTTAATTTACCAAGTATAGTTTTAGGTGTTAGCACTTCATAGCATATAAAGCACTTTGTAGAAAAAAAACAGTATTTAACAGCAATTTAGTTTAGAAGTAGCAAATTATGTATGCTTAAGTTTAAACTCAGCAGACAAACTACAGAGTCTACTCATGATTTCTAGAAGAATTTTATCAACTACAAAACCCAATTCATAAACTCCCTTTTTAAACAATGCTGAGCTTGAAACAGACAGATTCACAAGCTTTGCCTGCCTGCCCCACTGCTTTGCCTGGTTGTTTATTTGCTTTGTTTTTTTCAAAATCATGCCAGACAGAGGAAGAATGTTTGTACAACTAACAACAAACAACTTCAGAGGCCACTTATCAAAACAGGGCAAAGTAAGTAAGGTTCACATGCTATTTTTCAGCATGAGAAAAGAACTGTGACCTTGGAATGCGGCAAACTGCATGAACAGACTTCACTGAGGAACGTTTGCCATGTGTGAGTTCAGAAAAGACCAGTATAAGGAGAAGCTCTGCCTTCACATGCTGAAGCAGTGCAACCCACTCACGTCCATTCTAAACTGAATTCTATTATTCAGTTAATTCACAACTGCCTTAACTGCTTCAAATACCACTTCATTTTATGGTGGGATGAGGCCCCTTCTCAAATGTCCTACTAATTAGATGTTCAGCCAGACCTTATCTTTTCCCAGCCAGTCTGAAGCTAACATTTTCAAAGCAATCATGCATTCTTCAAGAACAAACAGAAAACATTATCTATTTTTACTGAACAATCTTCCATGGCAACCCTCACAGCATGGTTTTTCTGGACTGAAAATGTTCCACAGTATCTTCATTTGGCAGGGGGTGGTGGTGGAGGAAATAAAAAAATAATCCAGAAACAGCTGCCAAAATACAGACTATCCTATCAAAACCTTATCTGGCATTTTCCCCAACTTATAAAATCTGATCTGTATGGCTGATGAGAAGTCTGATATGCAAGTGTAACTCCATTTTTATGAAAAGAAAGCATGTGCATTCTTTGAGAAATGGGAAAGAACAACCTAGCCAGTTAATTGAGAGCTGTTTGTACGACCAGCTTCACTACTGTTTGTCCTCCTGACAAATCATCTCAACCACCAAGGAAGTTATTCTAGCAGTCTTCAGGAATCTTTAAAGATCTCAGCCTCTTTAAAGTTACATTTATGATAGTGATAGGTGATATATGCAGAAGGATAAGCTAGTAACACTCTTTAAATTACATTTAGTAACAGAAGTTTCTTCTCCCTGAATAGACATATGTGCAAACATTAACAAGCAAAGGCAGCAAGTCAAAGAGAATGAAGAACAATACACTCCAAACAATACATTAGGGTTACTAATGTAATGAAGACGCAAGCTCAGCATGAACAAACATTTTGCTACTAGACCATTTCATCAAATTATCATCTACATGACCATGTTTTATGACTTCTGAGTGCTTCAAGTCACACAATGAATGGGCATTCCAAAGCAGCATGTGTGCATGTAGCAATTAACTATTACATAACTCTCTCCCAGTTGCTCATACCCTTACTAAGTTTAGCTTGAGTCAAATACCTGCTTTTTTTTTCTCCTCCCTGAGAGAAATTACAAATTCAGCTGTTTCCTAAAACTAAAGCCCAGAACAAAAAACAATTAAACAAATTCTCTATGCTTTTCCTATTCTCATGCAAATTGGCAACATTTCAGCAAAATGCAAGTTTCTCAAAAAAAAAAAAAAAAAAAGGGCGGGGGGGTGTGGAATTTTCACCTCCTTATTTGAAACTTATTTGAGCTTCATAGGTGCTGTTCTGGTTCCCACAAAACCATTTTGGCATCTGAGAACTACCAGAAAGGGCATTCCCTGAAACCACAGGCCAGCCTATAGACCAGATGCAGCATATCCAGCCCAGACATATCAAGAGATGTGACAAGGTATGCATGGCATACATAGTATCTATGCTCTCGCTGATGAAACATGACCATAACTAGTTTTTGTTGTTACATCCCTTTAAAACTGGTAACTCCAGAATTTCTATTTTTAGTATTCTATATCGCAGTACTTTAAACTAGCAAAATTATATTATATTACTCACTCTGGAATGCAAAGCCAGAAGGTTACATCGGTTATATATCATGAAGTTTTTACCAAACATGAAGCCCTAATATTTGCTGTGAAAATGTGAATGCTTATTTCATTCTGAATACTTAAACTATCAAGAGCATATATTTTAAAACACAAGTTAACTAAATTATAGTTCCATGTGATATAATCTAGGTAGTATTCAATGAGAGGTTTACATGCACACATACCTCCAAAGAATGTGGAAGTTCCTGTCAAGTTACCAGGACCTTTCTGGTATCTGAACATCCGTCCCACTGTTGAGTCATCCTGTATGTGTGCATGGACTCCTTAACCAGAAGGCAGGGATGGGTCCCAGAAGATGAACTGACCTGTGAAGCCACCGACCAAAGAAAAACTGTTCTGCAAAGTCTGGGAGACCCACTGGAGGGACTAAACTCAGTTTTGGAACAAAGATTGAGATGAATAGTACATTCTGCACTGCAGGGCAGACGTAGAACGACGGAATGTGGCAAGTAAATTAGTTTTACCAAATGCTATCTGAAAACTATCATTTAAACTAATGGGAAGGTGTAATTGTTGGCATGAATCTAGTTTTTGCACTATCTACAATTTTAGTCATATCAGTACCCTTATGCAGCACAGATACACCTCTGGATTCTTGAATATTACCTAAAGAGATTACAAACCTGGATAAGAAAAGTAAATTTTTTTCAGTTTACTGTATACTAAAAAAACACATGAATCAAAATAGTTGTATTTAAAGATATGACTTCTAACATTTTAAAATTTAAGGACTCTTGGCTTTAAACATTACTCACTTTTACTCCAAAAGTATGCTTACTGCATCATGATAATCTTGACAGTAAGCAAACTATGTTGGCTAATTAAACTCTATCTGGAAAAAAAGATACCAATGATGTACAAATATGCTCCCATTTACTAATACAAAACAACCTACCCTGTATATTAGTATGAAAGAGTACCTTGGTACTCTTTGAAGATGGTTTAATGGAAAGCTATAGGAATAGAAACACACAGCGTACTAAATTATGACGTTTGAAATGAAAAAGTAGTTTTAAAAACTGAACTACATTACAACCTTAGGATGTTTACAAAGTATTGTATTCAACCAGTAATAATATCTTCAGAAGCCCTGTAACACTGAACTTTTTCATTTTTCTTTAAAAGATGGGAGACATGAAGTTTTAGATTCTCCCGGGTCATATGATCGTATTTTGAAATAACTACCCAGTTGATATCAGCTTTACAGTTGTAAAGTTTAACACAGATGTAGTATGTGTTAATTATGAATACAGGAGAAGCTGCCCCTGTCTCCTAAGCAAAATCAAACTCAAGTACCGAAATCTGTGCAAGTAATGTTGTTGCTCAGCTCACACATCAGAAAATTTAAGAGCTGCATAGTCAAGCTTGTCTGCAATTAGAAAGTTGATATACATTAGTAACTTTGTTTGGAGATGGCATCTGAAGAAATCTAATTTACCGTGGCCTTGTATTGCACATACAGTCTGCAAGTATTCTTCATGTTCTCTGTGAAACGAGCGGATTGCCCCTTTGCTAACTCTGCATGGTGAACAAAACTCACTTGCAGAAGTGCTGCCAGTTTCTAACTCATAAAAGGTAGGTTTATAACGACACATGTAAACAGAACACATAAATAACATTATAATTGAGAGATCAAAACACTGAGATGCAATTTAAAGATTCAGCACAGAAATATATTAAGTGTAAGTTTAAAAACTGCACAACATCATTTGAAGGGGCTTTCTTACCTAAAGAATGCTTCCAAGTTACAACAGGCAATAAATGAATGAACTGAGGCAGCTGCAGCCATGGAGCACTCACAAGCATCTGTCTGTTTTCCCCTCCTGTCCAGATAAAATTCCACAAAAACCTTTATTAGTTTTTGAAAAAAAAAAAAACAAAAAAAACCCACAAAACCAAAACACCCAAACCCTTGTGTTACATCCCACGGAAAAATGACAGGAAAATACATCGACATCAATGCATACATTTTCTTGCTTTACTAAAGAAGCTGGAGGGCATCATCTTAACACAAGGTACCTTATCCCACATTGCAAATACTGTATCATCAATAGAAACACAAGGTCAGATTAAGTATAAAACTGATGGGAAACAAGTGTTGTAACTGCATTTATGTTGTACTGGCCAACAGTACAATGCAAACAGTAAGTTATTCAATATTTGCATTATCATTACCATTAGCAGTGAAGTTTGGTAAACACCACTGTCTGTAAGTACTAATGTAATCTAAGAGTCATGGAAAACACAGATAAAAAAACCAAAGTGGTTTTTCCTGCCTTTTTCCCTTCATTGCCAAGGCTGTCTATTGGCCAAGGCAACTACGTGACAGATGATCAAAACGGAGGCCACGTGGCACAGCTTCCTACCACCCAACGTGCAGCAGCCTTAAGTCACCAAGCCAGTCCAACCCTGGGGACGCAGTCACATGCAAGGAGCAAGACAGGAGCCGCAGTCTGTCCACAGCACACCACCCAGCCTGCAGCCTCCTCCCTGTTCGTGAGCTCCCAGAAAGCGGGCAACAGGTTAGGCAACCTGGTGGCTGTACCACAATCTACCACATCAGGGGGGCTTAGATTAAAAGTCCCCTAACTCCCTCCAGACTATTTTCTTTTAATATTACATTACATTACAGAGAAGCTTGTGTTTCAGTATCTTCCATTATAAATAATCATTCAAAGCTTTACCCCCAAGAGTATCACTAAGTTTGCTTTTATAAAAACACACCAAATAACTGAAATCTTCCTCACAATAAACTTCACATCCTTACTGGGGGGAGAGTTTACCCTTCCCTCTGTTCTAACTCAGGATTTCAGTATTCATAGAATCATTAAGGTTGGAAAAGACCCCTAAGATCAAGTCCAACCATCAACGCAACACCACCATGCCCACTAAACCATGTCCTGAAGTGCCACGTCTACACGTTTTTTGAACACAGCTTTCTTCCCAACAATTCTCAGTGTGGCTGCAAGCAAAATAGTTGTTAATAGTAAAATAACAACTGAAAATTAAGAATAGTAATATAGTAATATAATTCTAGTAATGTAGTCAAAGACTAGCTACAATGTTCAGCA